AGCAGTTTCCAAACCTGCTGTCAGTTTTGAGCTGAGAGTGCATTATGTCCATTCAAAACACACCTGTAGCTCCTTGCTAGCAGCTGCTTCCCCTCTTGCTGATGCAGACATCAGTGGATCACTAGGTGGTGCAAAATCTCTCTAAACCTCACATCCTCCCTGTGCAGAACCTGTGACAGGAATTAGTGGCAGTCACAAAAATTGCATAGACAAACTGTTTCATAGGTTTCACTTAAAAAAGGCTAATCATAACCTGAAAACTACTGAATTGAACTAAAAAAAAAAAAAAAAGTATACTGCAGTTGGTTACTTTTAATATCTGATTTTTAGCTTATTGTAAAATTCTTCCCATTTATCCATTTTACCTTGATCTGTGGTGACTTAGAATAAAAATGAGAGTATACTAATCAGGAGTTTTTTCCGAGAAATGATACAGTTGTTATTAGCCTTCAAAAAGCCTTACATACTAGTTATGTCTAAAAATTTTTGAAGGAAGTACGCCATTAATGAAATGCTACACACATTTGTATGACTGGTGGGGATGAGAGGATCTGAACACCTGTTAAGTGCTGATATTACTCAGTTTAAACATGTTTACGCATACATGTTTCACAGATGCATGAATCACCAAGAAATGCTTGGCATTGGTTCTGCATCATTCCAGCTCACGCCGAACACCAAAAGCCAAGCATGAAGGCGAGGGCTCTGCTGACGACGCAGTGTTAGACTGGGCATTTACACTGTGCTGTGGGAAACCCTTATTGACTGACATACATTTTTTTAAGTCACTTCTTTCTTTCTGGTTTCCATGCTTCATTGGACTGATGAGTGGCTTGGTGAAAGACAGTGTCCCTGGAGAAGATTTCTAATTTTTCTCCCTGGGTGAGCAGAAACTTCTACAGAGCAGGCTGCAGGCTGATACTGGTGGAGGAGGGCTGGGAAAGGTCAGGGACCCAGAAATCTTGGCTCTTTTTTCAGCAGCTTTGCTAGTAAAGCCCTGTAGACATTCTAGGCTCTCTGCTTAAGACGAGAGACAGATCATTTCCCCCTCTAGATTTATAAGACTGTTTAAGGCTATGGCATCCTTAGGACCCGTGAGGCGGCCAGCATCTATGGAAATAGCTGGGAAAACTGCAAACACAGAAAGTGAATAAATGCTGCTGGATTTGTGAAAGCAAAGTCAGTTTCAAATTCTCTGACAAAGCTGATTGGACATAAGATATGCCAGTTTGCTGTGGGTGTAAGCTTGAACAATTTATACTTGGAAGGCAACATTATGTGAATTTTGTTTCTCTAGCTCAATAACATTCTGGTTTTCCTATTTGGTTTTTGAAAATAATATGGTCCTTTTTGAGGCACACGTAAATACAGTGATGCTCCTGTATCTCATATATAACACCAGCAAAGTAGCTGTCAGATTGCTTAAATTAATGTTATGTATAGCAGTATATTTATTCAATTGTTTCATCTTATTTTAAAATAAATTTTAGAATGTGTTTTTTGGGAATAAGCTTTCACAGCAGTGGGGCTTTTTTTTCTTCTATTGGTGAGATGAAGCATTTAATTTGAAAAATTACCTCTTCTGACAATTGTAGGAGAGTTTATATGAATAGAGAATTTAATTTTAAAGTATAAAATCTAAATTGTGTAAGTAAGCTCAACTGTTTTCATACTCTGTTTAGATGGTCTTGAAGGCTACCAAAGTACATTTTCTGGAATATTGAATTTAGTCAGTTTTCTTTTATACCAGAGATGGGTAAGGGGAAATATGAGATATCTGCTAGGAAATCTTTTTGTGTTTTTGTGCCCCTCTCCCCTGACACACACTCAGGCAGGGTGCCTGTGATAGTGGAGGGTCCAGGAGCTCTAGGAAGGCCTTATTTGCAATTCAAGGTTAAAACACACCAAGTCTAACTTAATATTCCAGGCTTTTTTAATGGAAATTGGAAACAGATGGAGTAGACAAAGGAATAGTAATCATGTGTCTAACACTGAGCAGAAGGAAAAAGAAAAGCGCAGCTATTCCCACATTGGTGTTTGCCCTTTCTTCTTGAAGATGTTCATGCAGTTCAACATTTGTTTTGAAAATCTTCATGAGCACATTCATATCTCTTGTCTGCTGGCCTGACAATGAATTACATATGGGTGTCCTTGCAAAAGGGTGATTGTTTTGCATGGTATCGGTAATGGCACTAAATGAGGCTTTCTTAGTCTGAAGCCTAATCTTAGCTTAAAGCAGGAAGAGGAAGCACAATTAACTGTCTATGGTAAGAGTGAGCAAAAGTCTTGTTAATCAGAACATAATATTATTTCTGTCTAAGACTTTTTAATATTAGAGAGGAAATTTGGTAGTGCCTTTCTTGGTAATCACAAGGAAAAGGTGACAGGAAGCAATATTCCGTGCAAGTCTCTACTGACACTGAAATGCATTAAAAAAGCTCACCTCGGTGTCAATAACAGTAATACCAAAAAATGTCTGTAGTCGAGAATCAATGAATGAATTATAGTAACACAGAAATAGTGTATCTGAATGACAACAATTCTTAGTTTTTCTTATTGAAGGAAATATTTAATATTTCTGTATTGAATATTGAAGGAAATATATTGCTATGTTAATATATTCATATTTCAAAATTACACTTGGAATTAATATAACAACCAATACGTGTTAATATTTTCAATATTAAATATTGAAATAAATATAGGACTTGGGCACATTGGTTGACGAGAAGCTCAACACGATCCAGCAATGTGCACTCACAGCCCGGAAAGCCACTGGTACCCTGGGCTGCAGCCAGAGCAGGGGGGGCAGCAGGGCCAGGGAGGGGATTGTCCCCCTCTGCTTCACTCTGGGGAGACCCCCCTGCAGTGCTGGGGCCAGCTCGGGGGCCCCCAACAGCAGAAGGACACGGAGCTGCTCGAGCGGGGCCAGAGGAGGCCACGGAGATGCTGGGGGGGCTGGAGCAGCTCCCCTGGGGGGCCGGGCTGAGAGAGTTGGGGGGGTTCAGCCTGGAGAAGAGAAGGCTCCGGGGGGACGCTGAGAGTGGCCTCCCAGGGCTTAAAGGGGGGGCAGGGAAGGTGGGGGGGGACTCTGGGTCAGGGGGTGGGGGTAGGATGAGGGGGATGGTTCTAAACTGACTGAGGGGAGATGTAGATGAGATTCTTCCCTGTGCGGGGGGTGAGGCGCTGGCCCAGGGTGCCCAGAGCAGCTGTGGCTGCCCCCTCCCTGGAAGGGTTCAAGGCCAGGTTGGACGGGGCTGGGAGCCCCCTGGGCTGGGGGAAGGGGGCCCTGCCCGGGGCAGGGGGGTTGGAACTAGATGATCTTTAAGGTCCCTTTCACCCCAAAACATTCTATGATTTTTTGGCACATGCCAGGTATGTATCATAAATAAATGTACTTGAAAAAATACATATATAACTGCTGTATTATACTAAATTATTCTTCTTACCCCATCATATTGAATTGCATTAATCCTGGCTTCATTAATATCTGAGCTCAGATTTTGTTGCCGAGGATTTCTTTTTCTTTCACTTCCTACTTATACAGTTTGTCCTTGTGAGTAAGGCTTTTTCCGTATCTATAATATTTCCTGAGAATAGTTCACTTCTGTTGTACCATGTGAGTACCGGCACACCAGTCAGACAGCTGGATTTTATCTGTTCTCAACTGCAAGGAAAATAGTCTTAAGAATCCTTTTTCTAAACTAGTTCAGCATGCAGTGTAATTATTTTATATTTGTATTTATTAATTACTAAGATCAAACTTATAAATTAACCAAAGCCAAGACTTCCATCTCTCTCTTGCTGTCTGTTTTCAGGTTTTTTTCTAAACTCTGTCATATCATACATCCTATTGCTGCTCAACATTTATATGTATTTGGACTTCATCTGACCAGAAGTTGTTTGGTTTGACAGATTCTGTATTTGCGACATCAAAATATGTTGCTATGGAAAAAGTTACGAGTTCTAATTAAAAACGCAGAGGTCACAAGTTTCCCAGAACCAGTAGGGCATAGATCCTAGGAGAAAAGAATCACAACATAAAAAATCCAGAGATACGTCAATCTGCAACTTTCTAGATCTGAAAGAAAACTAGCAAGCATTCAGAAAAAACCACAAGGCTGAAATTTTGATCAAGCTTCCTTGCATTCATTCAGATGATGTATGTCTCCCCGCTGGCACAAGTTGATTCTGGAATTCATGTAGAGCACTGATATTTGAAATGTCATCCTAATACAAGTTAAAAAGAGGAGTGATAGAAATTAGATGGAAACTAGTAGAGAGAGAAATTAGACCTGCCTAATCATCTTTTCAAATCAAGTACCAATATTGAAATAATCTCCACATAATGGTGTTCAGTGTTCTGTCAACTGCATGCGTCCATCGCTTCCTTTTAATGTTTGTCCATGTTCAGTTGTGTTATTGATTTCTCTTCAATCCCTTTTTGTTGTTAGAAACAATTATTGTGTCTTTTCACTCCTTTTGTCCCAGTTTAGCCAAACTACAAGAATTGTCAGTACAAGCGCCAGCTTGAGTTACAGGTGCCTGAGCTATCCACATCCGTGACAAGATGTGCCCACGCAATATCTGAATCAGAGCACAGGATTTAAGATCAGCTCAGCTGCAACGAATTCCTGCTCAATACCACACTGATGAACACACCTGTTCTGTGCAATGTTGGAGGTTTATGCAGTAGTGTGCTACGTGACACAGTCAAGACATAACCATTTTTGCTCAAAATTTATTTAGCTTCTAATCTTTTCACAGTGTTGGAGCTCGTAGTGCTTCCACTGCATTATTTTTTTAAAAAAAATGACTGGTACTGTGTAATTGTCTTCTAAGTTTGTGCTCTCTGCCCTCCAGTAGTAAGGCAAAAGAGTCTGTTGCTTTGAACTCGGTTCTGCAATTCAAAACCAGTGATGTGTTGCTACTACAGCACAGTGCCAAGTTATCTCCAGTTCCCTCTCAGGATAACTGCTGAGTATGTTTCTGTCTTACAGAGATGGGAGGCTTGGAAGCTTGCAATCTGATGGGTCCTGCTCACCTAATTACTCTTCTAGATACAAAAAAAAATTAAATGTCATTTCACTGGTGACTGAGTTTGCCAAAGTACAAAATGTCTGTGAGCCCAGCACTTTGGTCCTCAGCGGGAAGTTGCCATTTCACACCAGGCCTCTTTATGCACATGTGCAGCTTCTTGTAATCAGCCACGGCTCATCCTGAGATTCATATGGCCGACAGATAATCATTCTGGTGACTGAAGGACAATGACAAACGTTTCTTGTAGGTAAGCAGACAATTGGTTTTATGTATATTTTGATAAACCATATGTGAACTTTTGTTTCAGGTTTCAGTTATCTGCTAAAGACCTTACAAAAGGTACAGCAGGAGACTCATGAGGTAGACTTACTATTCCAAATGAATGCATGTATGCATACAGGTTTTTGGTTTTGTTGTTTTTGGGGTTGTTTTTTGTTGTGTTTTTTGTTTTTTTTTTTTTTTTTTTTTCTTTTTCAGTCCGTACAGGAATTCTATACTTGTTTTAGTGCATGTGTTATATATAGCTCACTATCATGACTGTAGCCTCAGGCCACATCCCTTAAACTGAGGAGATAGACAGTCAAGTGTAATACCAGGATATGAAACTGACTTTGTTGTTAACATAGTCCTTTCTTCATAACTACTGAAACTGGCATTGGGATTATGCATTTGAAAGCCTACATGCATCATCTTAGTCTAGCAGAAAATGCCATAAATGATAAATCAACAATAGATATCTGCCCCCCCCATTTAGGTTTTAAACTACCATATCTAATTAGGATGAGGGCTAGATGCTTTCATGAGGGCTTACAAATGCTGATCTATAGTTTTATGAATGTAAGAAATGTCATTCTTCCATATTTAATGAGTCTTGTTTATATTTTTGAAGTCTGTGAACTGAGCTAATTACCATGAAAAATTCTAGGCAGCTGCCTTGAAACTGTTTTACCAGCTATTTCCTTTTACCATTCTTTGTTTTTCAATAAGGCAAGAAGTTTTCAGATAGTTACAGAATATATTCAGGATCCACTATTAATGTCTTTCTGCTGAACCGAAGCAACATCAGATCTTAACTTCCTAGTTTTAATTCTAAGACACACTCAATGAGAGACTGCGTGGATTCAGATGGCAGATTAGATGGCAACCATACTTCTGAGAAGGTACAAACTTTACCCATTTCTATATTAATCATTTACTTTATGCTTTTTAGTAAGGGTACAAATTAAGCTCATCATTTAAAAATCCTTCCTGTAATATAATGAGACTGAAAATAATAATTTTCTTATTTCTGTGTGCAGATAGTACAGATCAGTTTTCCATCATAAAGCAAAAAAACCCCAACATACTACAGTCATTTTACATAAGCGTGGTATTTCCATTTTCCCACATTAATTGTGGAGGTTTTTAGCTGTGGAGATCTTTCCCTGAGTGAACTCTCTCGAAAAATTGCTCAGCCCTGAAGATTTCTGTAAGGCAAGAATACAGAGTAAAACTGTTGCAGAGAGCTTGGAGTAACAGGTTAGGCTCTGCAAACTGATTTTGTACTAAAAATTCTGATTCAGTGTTGCTAAGTACAAACAGAAATATTTTCCTGTTAGTTGCCCAACAAGAAGAAGACTTTCTGACTTTCTTTTCACCATTTTGAACTCTAAAAAGGGAGGAGATGTGGGGAATTGTGTCTAGCCTGTCAGGGTCTGGTTCCCTTACCAGGCTTTTTTCAACCCTGTTTGTGTTTCTCCAGAAAGGGTGTAAAACCGGCATCAAACCAGCAGTCTCATCATTGGAACTCATTTTATTCAAGGAAAGGCAACAGAATAATGTGAGGTGCTAAGCAAGGCATTCTGTCTTCTAAAACAGATTAAGATGTACACTAGAAATTAAAAAAAAAATGTAAAGTCACTTAGTAATAATTCCATGTGAAGGTTTTCACAGTGAAGTTGGGCCAAAGAGGTTTCTCATGTGCACTGATGATTTCGGTTAATGAGGACAATTATGTGAAAATGTTTTTATGTGATTATAGGATGAAAAAATCTGTGAAGTCATTAAAATAACCATCCATTTCAGAACAAACCATATAAGGTGCATAGAATTCTAGCACACTGACATAGACTAGGCAGTAGACCAACACTTAAAGAAAAAGGCCCCTTAGAACAGAGAAGTAGCTGTCCTTCCCTTTGCGCTTCCCTGATGAAGGCTTTCAGCCGTGATCCTAGGACTGTTTCTTTTATGAGTAGTTTTACACCTCCGTTCTGTGTGTGTGTGTTCTAAGGTCTGTTACGTATGTCTATTAGCAGTTTTTTAAAGGCCCTAAGGCTGAGGAATACTATGCTGGTATTTTCATTTAACCAACCTGTATGAATGAGATAATATTTAAGCCAGAGGCTCAAAAAGCCTTGCCAATCAGTACTGAACGGCTCGAGTTGCCCCTTAAGGCTGCATCTGGAAGAAGCCGGCATACCTGGAGATGACTGGCTCTGCTTTTGAAAATGGAGCTGGAAAACTCATTTAAGGCATGTTCAGGATAGAAAGTAGCTGCAAGTATCAGATTTGCATCTAGACAGCCCTCAGAGAGGCATTAGTTTCCGATAGGGGCCTTGAAAGGGTATTGATGGCAAGGGTGAGCTTTTTCACTATCAAAGCTTCTTGGATTTTATTTTTGACCTTATTAACAACTAGAATACTTGGGTATAAACTGCAGCCAGTAGACCTCCTGCTCCTCTGGAGAGGAAGGACTCTGGAACTTGGGTTTAGTTGAAGTACATTCTTAAAACAGTGCTGCTATTATCCCAGAGCCATGCTGGTTTTGGTCTAGAAAACTAGCTTTGTGGGAGACAGTTGGCCTTCCTGCTGGAATTTATGTCTGGAAGGTTAAACTGTAGAAAACAGCTGTAAGAACTCTATCAATACTTAGAGGAGGTGGCAGATGACTTATGACAAAGATGTGGGTAGAAGACTTCTGGGCTTGGGAGAAACTAGTTGAGCATAGCTCAATGTCAAGGCAATAAGGAGCATGGCAAGAACAGGCTTTTCTGGCACAGTGGTCAAATGAGAGGGCTATTTAATACAATATGCATAAGGTCTGTCTGGATTAAAAGGGTATACAATAGGTGTGTATGCGTAGACAGATTGCTTTTCTTGCTCTGTAAATTCCTCATCAGTCGCACACCTCTGACAGCAATCCTGCAGGTGCTCTTGTTCCAGATCCTCAAGTGCATTTCCAGTACTTTGTCCCTTGGTGGTCAGTGCTGACAGGACAGCATGTACCATTAAATGGAACTGACAAACACGAGCATGAGTTTGCGTTGACTTCTATGCTGCGACAGACTGTGCCGCGAGGTAGTTTCAGTGTAAGGTCTAGAAATAAAACCTGGGAACTCCCCTTATCATAATGCAAGTAGGGGTTCTAGAAGAATCTGACCAGCGCCTTAGTAGATATGTTGGTATTAAATCAGTCTTTGCTAGCCTTTAAAAATGAAAGCATGCTTATGCAAAACTGTAACTAAACCCCATTTTTTGGTTATAAACTATAACTCCAATTACTAATGTCAGACTATAGATTAGGTATGACTTGCCAAAAATAGCTATCAAAGCAGGTCACCATTGTGCATATGAAACAAGTTTTTCCCAAGGCTGTGCTGATACTATCGTGGTATTCTGTGTTGTGAAAATTAATAGACTGTAAGATCATTGCAATTTAGGACAAAATCAGTGTCTGTTTACTATGCTCTTAAGTACTCTCCTACCTGAGCCGACTGGTTGCTTGTGGCTGTTAGTTTAAAAACACACACTTTTGTAACAAGCTGTGCACTTGCTAGATTGGTGGCCTATGTTCCAATCAGTTGACTGGAAAAAAGAATTTAGCCTTGTATTTTCTGTCTGCCAAAGCTGATCTGGTATGTTGCAGTCAAGCTGACCCCCTGAAAAACCTCCCAGTTTGTTTAAATTTAATCAATAATTCAGGATTAACCAGCATGCTGCTCTTCATATTCTGAGCTATGTACAAGTTAAATGCATATCTTTAATCGACTTTCAACAAAACTTGCAATGAAAGGAGCAGTGTTTTCATTACAGTGCTCAAGCTTTATTCTGCCAGTGACATTGCTCCTTTTTCATCATCCCGTATAAGAAATTCTGAATAAAGTCATGCCTGTGGGTGCAGTTAACAAAGGACACAGAATAATCTACCAGTACATACTCCCAGTAGCACACAGCAAATTCCCAAAGTCCCATTGCTATATGTAACCCTAACACTGACTGGACTAAAAACTATATAAAGTGGTCCTCGGTTACAGCGAAAATCAGAGCTAACTCTCGTACACCAAATGTATTAAGTCCCTATGGTACCACTGTTTTTCATCAGTGCTAGTTTAGCATAAAATCATAATCTACAGCAAGAGACAAGTGGGTTTGTTTTGTTGGTTTTGTTTGGTTGTTTTTTATGCAACAGATAGAAAAACTGCATGAAGTTACTACTGGGAAGGTGATGGGGGAATTTAAACAGCTCCTATAAACCTATTGGATTTGAAAATTGAAACCAAAGGGAAGTTTACATATTATACTTACTTTCTAAGGGAAGTTTCTTCATGAAACTCTTACAAAATTTAGCAATGTTTATTGCAAGGCTTAGCGATGAGGTTACATCTACTCATTACACATGTACATGTGTGTATTTGAAAACAGGTTGGGAAGAACTTGCACAATAACCCAGTATCTTACTGGACAAGTTAGTTCCTGCTCATGCAAACTTTAGTAGCACTTTAATTTACATACAGCACAGTGCAAGATTCTCGGGGAATTAAAATCTGATCACTGTCTGGTTGATCAGCGTAACAAATAGGCATAGCTAATTCCCAGGTGACAAATGTGTTTTCACACACAGAACTATTTTGGGATACATATCTCTCAAGTATTTGTCCCCGTTAGCAACAAGAGAAGAAAATTATCGTATTGTCTTTATGTCTGACACTCTGGACGAAAACCAAAAAGTCACTCCCTTTCAGTACTTTTACCTGAAGAGTTTTGAATATAGTATTCTATACATAAAGGTCTTTGAAATAAAAAGAGTAAACTCATTGCTTTTCTAAGTGGATTTTCTGCAGTAGCCAGTAGGAGACACCGGCTTGCTGAGGCAAGTCATACTGGTGTGTGTTTTGAAGCATATTTGTCACAAATGACAGTAAACAAAACAGTGAAATATTTTCATCTTCCGTGAGCTCATCTACTCACAGTGAGTGTGATTTTCAGGGGAGAGAAGTACACAAAGAAGCGCGCCTCTCCCAGAAAGAGGCAAGTACACCCATCAACAAAGGGGTTTCCTGGGGCAGATTGTACATTAGTTCTTTACAGTTATTTGCAAAAGCAACGTCCAAGGGAAGGCATACACGAATCTGTCTGCTCAGTTAAGGTCGCTTTACTGTATCTGTGTGGATGTTGAACTCTGTGAAAGAATAAATGCATTATTTAAACATACATAGTGCCACTCACTCCTGTAGAGCAAAATAAATATGAAAATAGCCTTTACACTCTTTCAAGTTCACTTAAATCGATGCTATAATGTGTGTGAGTGGCTTGGGCAGCAGGGTGTTACAGAGTATTCTCTAAACTTTCATGCAAGGCTGCCTTTTGTCTTTATTTTGAGTCATCCATTGAATTCCAGCAGGGAATCAGCCTGCTGAAACCATACAAGACAGTAGCTTCTGTATTCTAGAATATATAGATTGACCTGTGCAGGTGGAAATCAAATAACTTAGATTAAGCAATAGGACTAATACATAGTAAGGCAGTATTTATGTTCTTCAGAAATTTACATGGTACATAAACATGCATTTAGCATCAGTCTTTGTAACCTTATAAGAATATTCTTTGTTTTCCTACTTCTTAGGCTGATGGCCTTATTTTATTTCCATTAAGGAAATAGGCATTTTTCTAGCTGCATGTTTAAACTGACTAATCCAAATTCTAAATCTTGAAGTGGTGGGGACAAGGAATGCTTTCAGACTAGAACTGGAGGTGGTACAAGGTGGTATATAGAACCTTCCTGTGCAATTTCAGGGATTTTGTTTGCTTGGTTGCTTGATTGTTTGTTTTGTCCATCAGAGGAGCTATAATACTGTGTAATGACTCATTTACTTAGGGCTCTGATACTTTAGAAAGTTATTGTGAAAAGTTTTCTTTTAGGTGGATATTCTGATGTGAATGGGGTCTCTTTTTAGAATCAAGCTAGCATTAAGTAATTAACTAATATCCGATCAGGCATGGACTGGTAGAGAAAAAGGTTCTTTCAGCTCCATCATTAGAACTGATGATCAAATCAATATAACAAGATGCTACATTTTCCCCACCTTTAAGAATGTATGTTGCAACTTTTAAAAACACAGTCTGACAGGCTATCTTAAAAAAAAAAAAAAAAATTATACATTATGTAGTAAACTTTTTTTATTTCCCAGCTTTATTGTCAAAAGTCAAGAGGTTTAGGGAGTCAGTGTCGATCCTCAGGGGGCAGTATTAACAAATTCTCGTGACAAGTAGAAAATATCTCTATTAACAGGACACTTTTCTACGGTACTAAACAACCATTAAAATAAAATTATCTTTCAGCATTCCATTTGGCACAAGACATATAGACTCTCACTGGAGCCCATTCCTGTTTCTTGTTGGGAGTTTGTGGCTTTTTCAGAATAGCATCATCTGGGATTTATAGGTAGCAATGTTAAAGTGATATAAAATAGAAGAAATGCAACTGTTTTGTTTTGTTTGTTTTGTTTTTTCCTGTATCAGAATGGGAGTAAGGCAATGAGACATAGGAAAAGTATATGGTGTCCACAAGGGTACACTGACATGGATGCTCATGCAGTCCTGCAGTGTTGAAGGGGGACAAACTGCAGGAGCTGATGCTTCATCTGCTATTAATTGCAAAAGCCATGCAGCTATGCCTCTACTCTTCATGCAGACCAGCTAAATCAAAGGTGAGTTGGTACTTTTTGGTACAGCTTGTAGTTAGGCCACGGAAGAGTCGTACAGTGAATATTCTTGAGCACAATCAACTCAGCTCACAACAAACACAAAGCTCAACTGTTTCATTACTGCATTATTCTCCATAAAAGTATCCCCATTCATGACAGAGGTGAATTGAGTCCTGTGTTTCTTCCAAATAACTTGGATCGGTATGAGATGTGCTACCTCTTTGTCCTGTTCATTGTCAACCATGCAAGAGTTATCCCATTAACTGCCAAATTTTAACTAGTTGGCCAGATAGCTGCTAACTATTAGGAGCCCCTCAAACTCTCTACCACATGCTTTGACAAATTTACCTGCCTCATCTGACCCTGAAATAACAACTTATGGAAGAGATGCAGCATGACCACTTAAAATTTTTTAAAATGAGGAAGGTCCTTCATTTCCAGTTTGGCCACGTAATGTGCTGTTTCACCAGACTTCATTTGTTTTGACCGGTTTGCAGTGAATGTGAATATGCAGATAATTCCAGAGCCTGTGATTCAGAAGTTAAGCAATTTGTCCAACTCTATTTCTATAATTCCCTGTTTGTTTGTGCCTTAAGCTACAAGAGCATCAAGAAGGAACAGTCCTACCAACAGGGAACTATGCAGGGAACTGTGCTCCTGTACAAATATATTTTATTCCAAACAAAAACTCTTAGTACTGATTATATGTATCGGAACAGCAATGCCGTGTGCAAAAAATTAGATGAGAAGAGCAACTCCAGCTTCCACGTATTAAGGAGGCAATAGAGTATGTCCCTTGTGCTTCAGTTTTTCCTCATTCATGCTCTGAAACTGTAGTCTCTGGGATGTTTGTCAGAAGGAACCTAGTAGAAAACAGGCAAGTTCTCACCCAGCTTATCATTTCCAAAACACGCTATTAAATCACATCAGTTTGAAACAGAAGAATTCAGATTATTTCCTCAAAGGTCTGTGCTGTAAAGTAACAGTTGTCACAAATATAAATCTTCAATTTTCTATTGTACTTTCATGCCACTCTTTAAAGCATTTAGTAAACGAAAAAGCACTGACAAAAGATCACTTTTCAAATTTGTCAGCATTAGATTATTTTGATGAATGTCACAAATAATAACAAGCTGTATTGCTTTTGTTTTCCCCCAGATGTTACCTGTTCTCCCATTAATACACATGACTTCCTTTACAAGGGATTTTATATAATTTGAACCAAATAACTTAATACAGGTGACAAATGACTGTTGGAAATGTACTTTTAAGGTTAGTTCTCTGCAGTCTTTTAAGCAGTGGCAGTGGTGGAATAAAGGGTAAAAGGGGTATTTTGCCCCTTGCTTTTCATTTAGAGGTTGTGTCCTGGGTTGAGTGAGTGGTGGAGTTGTTTTTGGTGGCAGGGGAGGGGGCTATCGGGGCGGCCCCCTGTGAGAAGCTTCTCGAAGCTCCCCCAGCTCCACATCAGCTCCACTTCTGTTTGGAAAACTGAGCCCATCAGCTGCGCCTCTGCGATAACGTATTTAAGAAGGGACGTGGTGACGGGCAGTGGGACTGGTGAGAAGGAGTTGCTGCAGCTGCGTGAACACCAAGGTCAGTGGGGGAATGGAGGAAGAAAGGAGGGGGGAGGTGTGCCGGAGCAGACACCCCCCTGTATCCTGTGGTGAGACGGCAGGGCGGCCCCCCCCTGCCACCCATGAAGATCTACGGTGGAGCAGACATTGATTTGTGGCCTGTGGCTCCTGCTCGCATGATCAAGGTTCTGTGCCCGAAGAAGGCCGGGGTCTCATGGGAAAAGGCAGCCCCGCTGCTGTAATTCAGTGCTGGGAGGATTGCAGCATGCGGGGGAGTCCCACGCCGGAGCAGCTCGGGAAGGGCTGCAGCCGTGGGAGGGAATCCAGTCGGAGGAAGTTAGTGACCCATGACAGAGCAGTGTGGGGAACGCTGCGGCCCGTGGGAGGAATTCGAGTCGGAGAAAGTTTGTGGAGGACTGTCTCCTGTGAGAGGGGGACCGCGATGGAGCAGGAGGAACAAGTTTTGGACACTCCCCTCACCGAAGATGAAGGAAGTGGCAGCGCTGACTGCACCCCCCATTCCCTGCCCCTGCGCCACTGGGGGAGGAGGTAGAGATATCGGGAGCAGAACTGAGCCCGGGAAGAAGGGAGGGGTGGGGGGAAGGTGTTCTCAAGACGGGGCAATGCTTCTCACTGTCTTACTCTGTTAAGTGTTGTTAGTGTCTGTAATAAATGTATGTTCTTTTTTTCTTCCCCTAACGAGTCTGCCTCTTGCTTGTGACCATAAAGGGGGATTCTTCCCCATCCCAGTTCTATCTCTAACCCCAAGCCTGGCTCTCTGTCCCTTCTCATTGCCGGAAGAGAAGGGAGAGAGAGTGGCTGTGTGATGGTTGGCTGCCGACCAGGCTCAAACCACGACAGGTTGTGTTCTTGAATTCCTTTTTACAAGCTCTGAGTAACTTGGTCTGGCCTTATTTCTGACGCTACTTCGAGCAGGAGCCTGGAGAGCTCCTTATGTCCTTTCCAACCTGAATTTTCCTATGATGCTAAGAACAAACACAAGTACGGTTCCACTACATTTCTGTGAATCTAAGTAGGTCAAATTTATGGCAGCTATGCTGTAGTGATTTTTCTACACAATACAAGGTCTTATTCATGTTTCTAACTTGCAACCATTTAACTGTCCTGAAGGGATTAATTGATTGAATTGGAAGTTGAAATTCCAATGACCTTTTATTCACCAGCCACATATAGCAAGCTAATGTTTAACACTGAAACTTGGCTATAGACACTGCCTGTGCCTGAAATCATATTTTCTACTGACAGTGAGCCATACCAGTGACATGTGATGGCTGGGCCACTCTTCTCCAGGCATTCAAATTGTCAATTTCTTCTTCATAATGATGTATGTAATTTAGTAATTTTAGGTACAAACTGGATGATAAAACACCCACAAGCTTCCACAGTTTACTTATTACATTTTTCCTTAGTTATTCAGTCAACTGTAGCCCCTTAATGTAGAAGAGATGTCCCACTGAGGACAACACAGGAGGATATATGCATATATTGGTACACAAAGAAACATCTTTCTCAGTGCACTTGACAATAATGTGTCAAGAAACATCAAATTTAGCTGTAGTGCTTACAGAATGCAGCAGGCCCTTTAAAGACTTAAAAATGCAGTAGAAGCTTAAGCAAAGACCTGCAGATACCCTTGGGCTTGGAGGTTGGGGAGTTGAAGACACTACCTACGACACATTCTTCTTCCTGATCACTTTGCCTCAGGCTCACTGAATACTAAGTGAATTTATGAAGTATATTCAGTTTTTCCATGCCAGAACCACCTTTTGTAAATATTTCTAGATGTAACTCTGAAATTATTCAGAATTGGAAGAGTGACCTATTGATAAAGAGCTCGGATTTTCCATTGAAAGCTGCCACAGTCTAGAGAACTGGTTTTACAAAACAGAGAGTTTAGTGAATTGTTTGAGGCGGATTCTGTCATTTGAAGGCCATGTCACAGCTGGTTTTGAGCAGACAGAGGATGCTGAAATAAAACTATTACTTTTATAGGCGGGAGAGCTGGTTCTGCACTGCTCTCTCAAACGACACTAGAGCTTTGCATAGAAAAAATCCTTGGTGCAGAACAGTGAAATGAAACTGTCATTACTGACCTTTAAGAACTAAAAAATTTCTGTGCCTGAGAGTGCCTGACTGAACTCAAGAGTGTTTTTGTATGATAGACACTTGAATGCAGACAGTGATATTTGGATGCGTCACAAGTGTGTATTTACTCTTACATTATTGAGAGAACAGCTACTTTAGATTGGCAGAGCAAAGACATCTGTGAATAGACTGTATGCAGGCAATTGACTGTGGATAATACTTCAGAAAAGTGCTCTTGCGCTGCTATTCAGTGAGATTTGCATGCCTGCAAAGTGTCATATTATCTTCCTGATTCCTTTTTTCCTTCTCTCATGAATGAGGCACTCTCCATATTTGCCTCAATGAAGGCTTTGTTTTTGTCCTCCACATTCAGCACAAACTTTCTGGTGATCAGAGTGAAAAATGCTATCATAACAGAGATTTTTCTTCTCAGACTGCCAGTTTAGGAATGTTGCATACTGGTGGATGGATCTGAGCATTTACTTAAAGCATTTTGATAAATACACTAGCCTTTTCCTCTACAGGGCCTGATGCATGTGTCCCACCAATAATGCTTTTGGAGAAATTATTCTGTTACTATGTGTAAAACTTGAGGACATTTCACTTTTCTTTTGGATGGTTGGATCTGTCCTAAATCAGAGAAACTCGGTGGAGAAACAAATACTTACTCAAGGGAGTTATCATACAGAGACTTCCTGTAAATGTGTCTCAAAAGCATTTTCAAATAATAAGACAAAAAACATGGGTGACTTGTTCTCAGAGTCCATACTGATGTGCTGAGATGTTTAATTTTCTGTGAATATGGGCCACATAGATAATAAAGACAATGATAAGAGGCTTCCTTTTTTTTTAATTTGGGAGGGGGGCAACGGGGAAAGCCTTTTGATGGTAAATAAATGATGTAAAAATACTGCCTGAAATTAATTTATAAAGTCACTAAAGCACGGTCACTGTAGGAAAAACTAAGGGCTATCTATACAAGGATTGTATGTCTATCTGGCGCATCTTTTATAAAATGAGGGAACTATTTTTAGCAGAGTACAGAGATCCATTTTCCATGTGCATGCTAAAGAGGAAGTAGAATCAGAGTGTCTGTAAACACTGGAGGCACCAGATATATCTTTAGCGAAGCAAGCCGGTGTCAGGAACAGTAAACAATAAGAACATGGGAACAGGTGGAAAATCAGCATTCCAGCAGTTTAAGAAGCGGTTGACTAGAAGCACATATTCAGTGCAGTTGATCAGATGGCTAAAATACGGAAGAAATATCTCAAAAGGGGACAGGGGAGAACAGAAGCTTTTGAACTGTTGAAACTTCTCCTATTTCTATATTATCTCTAGCCTAAATGCAGAATGAATAATTTCATCCGAGTGTTACCACTGTACAGATGTCACTGCAGATGGCATCATCTCTGCCAAAAAATGCTTACAAATATGCACAAGAAATGTAACCAGTTATGTTTAACTCCCAATGACAGTTGTTCAAAACAAATAAAAGAATGCTACATATTTCTCTTTTCTTCCCACACATTCCCCCTCAGCTGAAATTCAGGTTTTTCCAAAAGAAAAATTGTGTTCTCACCCATCATCCCAGACACTTATGGATAACTTAATAGGGAAGGCTAGGCATCTACTCTACCAGAGATGCAGGAAATATTTTCTAAATTGTATCACAGTAGAATGAAAACCTTCCTTGAGCTGTACAGTCTACGAGAAAGGAGGTTATATATGGCATTAATCTTATGTTCTCTAATAGAAACTATTGTCTGAATTTGCTACACCCATGGGTTTCTAATTGTTGGAAGTAATTTGCCCAGATTAATGCTCTCTGTTCAGTGCATTTAATATGACTTAATTTCACAACACTACGGGCTTTATCAGTAGTCAGAATAACCCCTGGAAAACCCCAGGAGGCAAAAATGCTTGTCGAGTTTAGCTGTTGAGGCTGGATGATGCTGCTTTGTGAAAAATGAAGTAATTGTTTTGAGAGAAAGAACCGTCAGAAAAGTACTGCGTCTATCAGAATTCTTTGTCTTTCATCAGATGTGTTATTCAGTCAAAAGTTGGCTTTTATGTTTATAACAATGCCTTTTTTTGTGTCTGGTAATACAGGAGTACTGTGAGACTTCCCTATGCCTATACTACAGAGTGTCATACAGTTAGTTACCCATAAAATACTCTCACGTAATTTTTTTATTAGATTGAATTTAGGATATTACCTATTGCAAATACACACATGAAGGCACAGATATTTTCTGTTTCAACTTCATGTTGAAAGTGTCATCTTACATAAGATCATAAAAGCTATTGTGTTGGTTTGTTTTTGTTTTTTTTTCCACAAAAGAGATTTGCTTTCTAGTATGTACAAGCACCCTTAGGTGTTCTCTGCATAGCCATTATGGTTGTTCTCCTTAGCTTTCTTTACATACCACGTATAGTTGTTTGCAATAGCTATAGCTAAGGAATTGCATGTATTTAGGAATGTTCTCTGAAATATCTTTTGTCCCTTAGATGCGGTAACATACACCCCAAATTCTGCCCTGGAACCCATTTACACCAGTAATAGCTATCAGTCAGTCAACTGTCTTGCCTTTGACTAGTCAGTCTGCTGATTCTGAATGGTAAAAGAAACCATTGACTTGAGTTACTATTATCTCACATGTAATTGTTTCGACCCCTTTTTTCCTGAGGTTGGCCATATGAAGCACCGTTCAATGCCTTTAATCAGGACAGGAAAAGGTCTTTGGAATTGTAAA